TTTACCCCGCACAGGGTGCGGGTTATTACCTAGTTATCTATGATAAGTTAGGTCATATCACATTCTGGTGAAATGCTTTTTCTTTATATTGCTCTATGATCAAGTATTTAATCTTAAGATCATCAAAAATATGATGACACATAAATGCAATTATATAAGATATGATTTATATATATATATATATAAATAAATATAATATGCCATAAAATGACTCAATCAATCAATCATCAAAAGAGATAAGATAAATTATGTACAAATTTCGTGATCATGAGAATAAACAATTTTTTTTTGATGTAACAGTGCAAGTCTCGTGTTAACAATACTGAAAACAGAAACTAGTGCAGATTTTAAAACAGAAATCTAGATCTGAATAATGACATAATAAAAACACATCCGTGCAAAGTTCGTGTAAAAACGATTCTGTACAAAAACAATATGAAAAATATTCGATTTAATGAATCTGTGCAGAAGCAGTATGGAGAAATATTCGATTTTAATGACTAAGATTCAGTTTAACAAATTTCGTGCAAATCATGTGCAGAAATAATATAAGCAATATTTGACTTTAATGAACAATATTCAGTTTAATATATTTCGTGCAAACTATGTGCCGAAACGGAAAATGAAATAATATATATTTGATATGCAAATCATATGCAGAATTGGGGTGGGCACAAAAACCATAACCAAAAAAACCAAACCATACCGAACCGAAAAAAGTGATATGGTTTGGTTATGGTTAAACCTAAAAATCCATTTGGTCATCATTTTTTTATAGTTTTGGTTTAGGTTTGGTTTGGTTAAAAACTGTCAAACCAAAAAGTTTTTTCGGTTATTAAACTAAATTTTAAATAATTTATATTTTCCTAATTTTTTAATCTAGTTTAGGTGCATATTTTATTATTGAGCTTAGTTATCTTTATAATTTACTAACTTAACTCATAAATTTAAAATATAATATTTATAAAAAATATCTACATATAAATAATAAAGTAAGCTTTAATTTCTCAATAAAAAAATGTGACTCCTTTTTCTTCACATTCAAGTCTTCTAGTTCTAGTTTCAAGATTATAGGTATTAAATTTTAATCTAGATTGGTTTATTGTTTTATAATTATTGATTATGAAAAATTTGATAATTTGTTTGTTTCTCTGTTTTGAAATATGTCCTTATTGATGAATTTTTAATGATTTAGATTCTATTTTTTGAATTTATTGTTTTATTTCACTCATATTTATTATTATTATTTCTATTAGTTTGAATCAAAAAATTTCGTAATAGTATAATTAAAAAAAACGAAACCAAACCATATCAAACCGAACCGTAAAAAACCAAACCATACTGAACCGAAATATATATGGCTTTTATATGGTTTGAATTTTCGTAAAACCGATAAACCGTAAAACCGAAGAAACCGAACCGAAACCAAACCAAAAACCGAAGTGCCCACCCCTATGCAGAAATATGAATAAAGACATATAAATATATCATATTATTAATTGGCAAGCAAATTGGACTGTGGTTGAGAGTTATAATGGTTGATTACCTTTTGCCCCTTATATGAATTTACTTTAGTTATCCTTAATAAAATTAATAAATTAATATAATCTAATTTTTAACTGATTTTTGTTTTTTTTTTAAAATTTAGATAAGTTTTTATCGGATAATAGATATGATATTAAAAAATAAGATATAAATAATATATTTTCCTTTGTCACAAAAAAACTATATACTCATGAAAATTGTATTTTTCAAATATATTAAGTTTCGTTTCGAATCACTATAAAATCTGATTTTTTTATCTATAAATAAACTAATGTTATACTTTTTAAAATTTTTAATTGAACCCCGCACAAGGTGCGGGGAAACACCTAGTTAGTATAAACATGTGATTTGAATCTCTACTGGAGAATTTATCATTTATAAAAATAATAATAATAAAATAATTATATGATTAAAATCTATGCAGGAGAATTTATCATAATATCAATCATAAATTTAATAAAATAAACATATAAATTGAATCTCTACAAGAGAATTCATCATAATAAACATATAAGTTGAATCTCTACAAGAGAATTCATCATAATACTGATTATATAAATCTCTTCAAGAGAATTTATTATAATATTGATCTTGTAAAAAAGAAAACTTAATAAATAAACATATGATTTTAATCTCTGCAGGAGACTATCATAATATCGATTAATGATCCATTCTTATAAACCATGAGTTGATAATAAACATGATTTGAAGTTGGAATGAATAAATTCTAAGAAGCAAATTTATATACCTCTTAGCTCAGACAGCTAGAGTTTCGTGCTGATAATGTGTTGTGAATAGAGAGAAGAAATATAAGGAATTGGTGTTGTATTATTCCAATCAATAGGTGATCCTTTATATAGGAGTATAAAGAGAGAGTTTTACTTGGTGACAAAGTAAAACCTAGTTTACAAGCAATTCTAGAACCTTTTAGAAGATGGGCTTAGAGCATGTCCATCAGCGGCTTTTAAGAGTTTTTTATGAGTTTCTTAAAATAAAAAAACTAATAAACAATTGCTTCATGTTAAAAAGTGTCAAAGACCGTCTCTTAATCCAGCACTTTTAGAATCGGTAAAAAACCCTTACGTGTCACTCTCTTGTTGGATCCACTAATTTTAACAAAAACAAAAAAAATAGCTGGGAATTTTTTTAGCTCCTCCGATCAGAGAAAGAAGAAGAAGAACTCTCAAACTCTTGATTCCTTCACATGGTATGCCTCTCTCTCTCTCTCTATTCTCTTACTGAACTGATTTTTTTCTGAGGATTATCACCTCTTTACGGTTATTTTTTTGGATTGAATTTTTCTGATCGATAATGTAACTGCAATTCTATGATTTCTGCTATAGATCTGTGATTCGTGTTCATCAAATGACCAAATTTTGATTTGATTCTGTCCGATTACATGCTCGATCGGATCTTTGTGACTGTTTGTTGATTCTCTGAAAAATACTTATTAGCAGTTAGCCGATAAGAAAATAACACTAAAAAAGCACTTTTGTCGTTGGTATTTGAAAACCTTTGGGGCTTTCAAAGTTCAACGCAAAGGCGGTAAAGGCAAACCGATATTTGTATGGTAAGTCGTGTTTAAGCAAATCCAGATTATCAATGGTTCTTGAGGAAACATGTCTAGCCTCTAACTTTAACTTTAAACCCCCCTGCTTATTTATGTTTGAAAGCGAAATCAACACAATGTTGAGTCACACAAGTGATGGTTTAACCAAGTCTTGTTTCTGGGTTCGTCTGTGATCTTGCCATGATCCCGTGATCGTTATGTGGTTTATGTATTATGATCTGCTATTTGTTGGTGGTTTTTTAGTCTTCTCTGTCTCTGTTTCCAACTAGTTTTATCCCTAAACCGTGAGGTCTTTATTTCCTCTTCACTTTTGGCTTTCGGTTTGCTATCATCAGCTTCATAATCTCACCATGAGGTTGTAGAAATTCAGGTCAAAATTGATGCGGTTGTGATCTAATTTTTTTTTTACATTAAGATTGCTCTTGTTTCGTTATGATTTTAAATTGAATCACAAAGACATTCGTTTTCAGCTTCTTTTCATTAATGATTTTTGCTCTGGTTTCTGCAGCTGCTGAAGAAGATGCAGAGTGAGGAATTTCACGAGCTTGCGGATGAAATATCCAATGACAAGACCCAGGGAAATGATGAAGAGTCAAAAAGCGGATAGAAAGAAGAAGAAGTTGAAAGAGATATTGCTAAAAGAAGCTATGAAAGCTGACAATCAAGGAGTTTGCTACTTGAGTCGCATCCTACCACACATGGATCACGTTATACTTCGTCAGATTCTCTCAGTTTGGAGAAATCAGAAGGATTTAATTTGCACATGAAGGTGAATTTTATTCCGCTGATCACCCCTTGTTTGATATCAATTTGTGCACAGTTTTCCTCTAGTTATTAGATTTGTTTTTAAACTTGTCCACTTAATTGTGTGATCCTTCTACTTTTGATATTAATATTGGAACTTCAAAACATAAAATTTTAAAATATATATTTTTTTTTATTTTTAAAAACCCATATTAAGACTCTACCAATGGAAGAGAAAAATATTAAAATTTCTAGCAAAGTTCTTAAAATAGAATGATAGAAAATTTATATTAAAAAATCTGTTTAGAATTCCAAATGGGGTTGTGCCGATGGAAATGGTCTTATGAGCTTATAATGGACATCACATACTATTTCATAACAATTTTGGATTTTTGTAAGTGTTGGTCTTTTTTTTTATCAATTTATTTTGGTTTGCTGAATGTTGGAAAAGCTTATTGGAGAGTTACACACGAGTTTTTGAAGGTTCTGCATTTAAAATTGTTGTTTGAATTGATGTTATTCTTTATGTTTACAAAAGAATGAGAGGATATATATATATATATATATATATAATATAATATTTATAAATTAATAATGTTGGAACATCAAAATTTTATTAATTTATAGAAAAAAAATTTGGTTAGAACTTTTTAATGTTCATCAATAGACAATAAAAAATATTTTTGGCACAGTAAAATTTTGTTCAGAAATATTATATTAATTAATTTGGAAGATTAGTCCAAATTTTTTTATAAATTCAAAACAACAATTAAATTATATTTTATTATATTATATTATTTATATATGTCTAAATATATAATTATTAATTTATCTAATTATTTGGACCATATATTTACATAGGAGTTTTTTAAAATATATTATCTAATCAAATCTTCCTAATTTTTACTCTATTTTGATTTAGGACCTGCAAATTTATTAATTTATAGTAATTATTAATTTATCGAATATTAATTTATAAAATTTTATTTTATTAATTTAATTTATTTTGAAGAAAAAAGTTTTAAAGTTTCATTAAATCGAAGATGTTAAATAGCTATAAAAATTGATTTATTATAGCTGAAGCATTTATTAATTTGCATCTTTTTATTAAGCAACTGAATGTATTATAAAAATAATAGATAGTAATTGACCTGTTTTATGGAATTTCTCCTTTATTTAAAACACGATTCTTAATTTGAAATGCAAACATGGATTCTGATTTAAAACAAAATGGAGATGGAAGTCCCTTTAGTTAGAGAAACCATCTAACTAGGGAAGTATTTGGTAGTAGAAATAGCTTGGAGTTCGACTTCAACCATCAAGGCATCATTTACAAGGAAACCCTTTGATGAATCTCTGAGATCGTCAAAAGAGATTAAGTCACTGAAACCCCCGACAAAGTATCTTCCATACCAAAACTCGACTGTAAAAAAAGAAGAAAGAAGATGACAAGAAAACACTCATTAAACCCTCTATTAAAAAAAAAAGAAAAAGAAAACACTTATTAGTCATACTGTAAAATGTGTCTTTTTTCGTTAAATAAATGGTGAAATATGTTCAGAGTGAAGAACATATATATATCTGCTTACGTTGCTTTTCGCGGTTACTGAGTTTGCGTTGGTTAAGAACTCGAAGCTTGGCTAAAACATAAACCAACTCATAGTCTCCTGTTCTTTGTTTCCCAGTAAGGACAAGGTACAATCCCACGGCTTTTCCACATCCCTGGTCCATTTGTAAGAACCTGATCATCATATGGGATACATTTTGTTACGACCACACAACTATGAAATATATAAAACAATAACATTTTTTGCTGTTCTTTTGTCAATAATAATGAATAGTGGTGACCAAAATCTACATTTTGAAGTGATTTGGACTCACCATTTTTTACCTCCAAGAGAGAAAACATCTGGATAGTAATTATCTTTGACCAACGTGGAAAAATTCTGAATTGTCCAGGCGAATTTCTCAGAACTCCATCTGACAGAGAAAAGTTCTGATTTTTCGAAAGGAGTATCAACGATCACATCAACACCAAACTCGCAGTGATCTCCATCGTAAAGATAACCATTTGTTGGGTCTTTGAAAGTATCAAGAGGGAGGACCTTTGAGAATCCCCACATCGTTTTCAAGGCATTGAATCGCCATACATCAATATCTACAATTAACACAACAAATATAGATATCTTATTATATAAAGTTTGATATTTCAAAGTTAGTAATTGTTTTTCTTGTATATTAGAAAAATTAGCAAGAACCTTGGATGGTGAAGTACTTCCTCTCGTTCTTGTTGAAGATGTAAAACCTGAGATCCGCATAAACCTCTTGATGTACAGACTCGACGAGACTCGACTTCTCTATGGCTACGTAAAGCGAAATGTAACCTGAACCACCATCCTTCTTGTTCCCGTTAGGGTACACATGAAGAGTCCTGTATATATAATGTGATGATCAATCAAATTTTAAGTGTATATAAGATTCGATTACAAGCGAATAAAATATAACAATTACTCGACGTACCAATTGTATCCACCAGCAGAAAAAGGACGAGTTTCAAATTTGTCTACAACGGTTGACTTAAGGATTGTGTTGAAAGACACTATCTTCAAAGAGTAAGTCGATGGACGACGATCTCTCAAACCTGTCACTGGGTTTGAAGCAGAGACTTTATAATCACGTGATGATGGATCTCTTGATGTTTTTGTACGGATTGCACTTCTTCTTCTAGATTTGTATTGAAGTCATCAGTGATTTGTCTTATTAAGGAATGTGCAGACACATATGTGATGAAGAGACAAAGCAAGAGATAGACAACAGAGATAGATATGGTGTTTTTGTAGTGACTCTTCATTTTGTTTTGTTTTGTTTTGAATGGAGTGTGCACTGCAGTGACTTGTGAGAGATATTTATAGACCTGCTGGTTTAGAGTTGAGAAATGCTTTAGGATTCCTCAAGATGTGGATGAGAATTTTACAGTTTAAACTTTTTGGTAAAACAAATTAGGTTAATAACTTCAATCCACCCTAATTCACGCTGTCTCAATTCTTTATTACAAATAAATAAATGATTGAATTTAACACGTTCACTTCAGTTGTGACTTGTGATTGAAGAAAATATAAAAGAAAGAAACGTTAAAGTCTCCGTGCGCTTTCACATGTAAAATAGCGATGAATATGGATCTTGTCTGTGCTGTGGAGCTTTCACATGAGAGATGCTTTAGGATTGCTCAAGATGTCTATATTTGTTTTGTATTACCATTGAAAAAAGCCTTAAAATAACACGTTTTATACAATGAATAACTATATGTTCATGTCTATGTAGTAGGAGACAATGTAAATGATGTAACACAAAAACAAAAAATTTAACAGTTTACGATTTAAATAAGCACTTAAGAAATTTAAAATATTACTAAGGCCATAAAGGCATCCACATGGTACATAATATAGGTTCTCAATAGAATATTTCAACATATAAAGTAGTAATATAGGAAACAGAATTAGAAAGGGGTTTCAATGTCGTTTTCTAAATGGTTCAATTTTTTTTCAAATATTGAAATTTAATTATATATATATTAATATATTAAAGAAAAACTAATATATAGCTTATTTGATTTTATTTTTAAGAATTTTTTATTTTTTTTAATTAAATCGATGATGTTTTAAATAGATAAAGTATAGATATTAGTATAATATAACCGAAGCATATATTAATTTTAAATTTTTACGATTTCAATAAACACTTAAATTTTTTTAAATATTACTAAGGCCATAAAAGCATCAATAAACTATTTCAACGTTAAAAAAATGGGAAACAAAATGAGAAAGAGTTTTCAAACTATTGATCCACTTGTCGTTTTCTAAATGGTTCCATTTCTTTTTAAATATTGAAATTTAATTACATATATATTTATATATTAAAGAAAATTTAAAATATAGCTTATTTGATTTTATTTTGTAGAATTGTTTTTCTTCTTTTTGTTAAATCGATGATCTATTAAATAGGTTAAGTATAGATATTGGTATAATATAACTGAAGCATATATTAACTTATATCTTCTTACTAGGCATCTAAAAAAATTCATGTATTTAGAAATAAGAAGATAAATTATAAACGTATTTTATGGAATTTCTCCTTTATTTAATACACAAACAAACATTCTGATTTAAAACACAAACATGGATATGGAGCTGGAAGTAACTTTAGCTAGAGAAATCATCTAACTAGGGAAGTACTTGGTAGTAGAAATAGCCTGGAGTTGGACTTCAACCATCAACACATCATTCACAAGGAAACCCTTTGATGAATCTCTGAGATCGTCAAAAGAGATTAAGTCACTGAAACCCCCGACAAAGTATCTTCCATACCAAAACTCGACTGTTGGAAAAAAAAACCCGGAAGATTACAAAAAAGCACTCATTAGTCATATAGTAATTAAAATGTGTTCATAGCGAAGAAGAAATACAATATGCTTACGTTGTCTTTCACGGTTATTTAGTTTGCGTTGGTTAAGAACTCGAAGCTTGGCTAGAACATAAACCAACTCATAGTCTCCGGTTCTTTGTTTCCCAGTAAGGACAAGATGCAATCCCACGGCTTTTCCACGTAGACCCATTTGCAAATACCTAATCATCATCATGTGATAACTTTTATTACTACCACAACTGTAAAATAGATAAAAACAATATTCTTTCCATTTCATAAAACTGTCGTTCTAACACTTTTCACGTAAATTAAAAAAAACCTGTAAATGTTTATTGCACCTTTATTAATAAACTAAAAGAACAGGAATAAAACTGAGATTTAATTTTAAAAACTGTATTAAAAATTGAAAATAACATTTTTTATGAAACAAAAATAATATATTAAAATGACACTCTTTTTGAAACGGAAAAGTACTCTTCTCTGTTCTTCTGTCAACAACATACATATCAGTTAGTTATGATGAATAGTGGTTACACAAAGACAGCACTACAAAAAAACTACATTTTGAAGTGATGTGGACTCACCATTTTCTTCCTCCAAGAGAGAACACTTCTGAATAGTAATAATCTTTGACCAACGTGGAGAATCTCTGAGTTGTCCAGGTGAATTTATCAGAACTTCTAACGACATAGAAAAGTTCTGATTTTTCAAAGGGTGTAGGAACAGTCACATCAACACCAAACTCGCAGTGATCTCCATCGTAAAGATAACCATTTTCAGGATCTTTAAAGGTATCAAGAGGGAGGACCTTCGAGAATCCCCACATCGTTTTGAAGGCATTGAATCGCCATACATCAATATCTACAATTAACACAACAAATATAGATATCTTATTAGATAAAGTTTGATATTTCAAAGTTAGTAATTTTTTTCTTGTATATTGAAAAATTAGCAAGAACCTTGGATGGTGAAGTACTTCCTCTCGTTCTTGTTGAAGATGTAAAACCTGAGATCCGCGTAAACCTCTTGATGTGCAGACTCGACGAGACTGGACTTGTCTATGGCTACATAAAGCGAAATGTAACCTGAGCCACCATCCTTCTTGTTCCCGTTAGGGTACACATGAAGAGTCCTACATATATATATATATATATATATAAATAATGTGATGATCAATCAATTTTTTAAGTGTATATAAGATTCGATTAGCTAGAGGCGAATAAAATATAAAAATTACTCAACTTACCAATTGTATCCACCAGCAGGAAATGGGCGAGTTTCAAATTTGTCTACAACGGTGGACTTAAGGATTGTGTTGAAAGACTCTATCTTCAAAAAGTAAGTCGATGGACGACGATCTCTCAAACCCGTCACTGTGTTTGAAGCAGAGACTTTATAATCACGCGATGCGATCTCTTGATGTGTTTGTACGTAGTGCACTTCTTCTTCTACGTTGAGATAACAAAAAAAAAAAAAAAAAAACAGAGCATCTTTAGACAACAGAACAAAACAGAGGATTTGTGTACAAACATAGAATCTAAAAGACATAGATGGATATTCTTGAATATTATTAGATCAATTTTTTTTAATGACTAAGCTAGATGTAAAAACGTTGTTTTTTTTGGTTTGAATAAAATTTAACATTCACTTTAAGAAAACAAAAATATTAGATCAATTTAGATGACATACGCTGATGCATACTTGTATTAGAGTCCTCGGTGATTTGTCGTATTAAGGAATATGAAGACACATATGTGATGAAGAGACAAAGAAAGAGATACACAACAGAGATAGAGATGGTTTTTCTGTAGTGACTCTTCATTTTTTTAGTTTTGAATGGACTATGGAGTGTGCAGTGTAGTGACTTGTGAGAAATATTTATAGACCTTCTGGTTTAGAGTTGAGAGATGCTTTAGGATTGCTCAAAATGTGGATGAGAATTTTACACAATAATGTTAGTTTATTTTGTTTGCCTCTGCGTCTGCAAGGGGAAATCATATTTTGAAATATCATTTTGGATTATATAACTGACGTGGTTTCATTTAGCACCATTGACAATTGAATCCATCTCTCACTGAAGTTATTGTCGTTAGCAATGTGCTAGATGAATCCATTTATTTTCTTCATCAGAGACGTACGCATCTTTTTTACATGCAAAAAGTAAAGTTGGTACAGAAGTAGTTACAACGAAAAAAAAAAAAACGCTCGTGCAGTTAGGAGTGGACACTTTGGTTTTTGGTTTGGTTTCGGTTCGGTTTTTTCGGTTTTATGGTTTATCGGTTTTACGAAAATTCAAACCATATAAAAGCCATATATATTTTGGTTCAGTATGATTAGGTTTTTTACGGTTCGGTTTGATATGGTTTGGTTTCGGTTTTTTGGAATTATACTATTATGAAATTTTTTGATTCAAACTAATAGAAATAATAATAATAGATATAAGTGAAATAAATTAATAAATCCAAAAAATAGAATCTAAATCATAAAAAAATTCATCAATAAGGACATATTTCAAAACAGAGAAACAAACAAATTATCAAATCTTTTATAATCAATAATTATAAAACAATAAACAAATCTAGATTAAAATTTAATACCTATAACCTTGGAACTAGAACTAGAAGGTTTGAATATAAAGAAAAAAGAGTTAATCACATTTTTCTTTATTGAAAAATTAAGGTTTACTTTATTATTTATATGTAGATATTTTTTATAAATATTATATTTTAAATTTATGAGTTAAGTTAGTAAATTATAAAAATAACTAAGCTCAATAATAAAATATATAGCTAAACTAAATTAAGAAACTAGGAAAATATAAATTATTTAAAATTTAGTTTAAAAACCGAAAAAACCTTTTGGTTTGACGGTTTTTAACCAAACCAAACATAAACCAAAGCTATAAAAAAATGATGGTCAAATAGATTTTTAGGTTTAAACATAACCAAACTATATCACTTTTTTCAGTTCGGTATAATTTGGTTTTTTCGGTTATGGTTTTTATGCCCATCCCTACGTGCAGCATCTATTGTCTTTTCTATTTTTGGATCTAAGCATTAGTCAAATCGATGATTTTTTTTATTAAAAAGCTTGGATTAATACTTTTAAATGAAGATTCGTCATCGTATTGCTATATATGATCACTCTTCGGTGGCCAATTAAACCCCTTTTTAATACTTCATTTTATTTAATCCGGATTAGAGAGTTATTCAAGAGTTCTTGAAGGTTTTGTTTTTAACATTGTTGCTTGGATTGATGATGTTCTTTGTATAGACAAAACACAAAGTGGTTGATAATAAATCATCTAAAGTAACCAGGGAAGTACTTGGTAGTAGAAATAGCCTCAAGTTTGACTTCAACTATCAACAACACATCATTCACAAGGAAACCCTTTGATGAATCTCTGAGATCATCAAAAGAGATCACGTTCTCCATACCAATTTCGGACTGTGAAAAAATAAAAGGGAAGATCACAAGGAAGCACTCATTAGTCATATTGTATAATATGTTGATAACGAAGAACCACTACAAGAAAAAATATATATTACATTATTTATAAAGTGTCATTAAAATAACTGATTCTATTTAGAATCATTAATTAAAAATTGACATTAGATATAAAATTTTACATCAGTTTTTAAATTGATACTAATCTTAACTTGATTAATATCAATTGAAAACAATTGATACTAATACTAACTTGATTAACATCAATTAAAAAAACTAATACAAATCATTATTAATTTATATCACTTTTAAAAACTAACACAAATATATAAATTTACATCAGTTATATAAGTGAGACATTTAATTAACTGGCATTAGCATCAATAATAAATGATGCTATTATTTCTTTCAGTTACAAAAGTGATACAAATAAAATTCTCACTAAACAACTATTTGTCCCACATTGCTGAAAATGATGAAGAGTACTAGTTTCATCCTCTATAAAAAAAATTCATCAACACTAATTTTTTTTATGTTAAATCATATGTATGTATTTATATACATTTCTTAGAATAATAAATATAAAATTATTAGTTATCTTAAATTTATAATATTATAAAAACTAACACAAAAATTTAAATCAAAACGAATTTTAATATATAATATCATTTATTATAACTGATAGTAAATATTAATATTATTTATTTAAAGTGATGTAAATATTAATATCACTTATTGCAAATGGTATATATTAATATTATAAGTGTTGAAAATAGTTACATCATTAATAATATTGATATAAATGATTAACATCATCACTTCCAGAATTATTTAATTAAATAATACAACTGAATTTGCATCAATCAAAAAATGATATTAATAAATAAAATAAATGATACAACACATATAATTTATTGTAGTCAACATACATATATATCTACATACATATATATCTACTTACGTTCCCCTTCGCAGTTATTGAGTTTGCGTTGGATAACAACTCTAAACTTGACTCGAACATAAACCAATTCATAGTCTCCCGTTCTTTGATTCCCAGTACGGACAAGTGCCACTGTAACGTATTTTCCACGTACCACCTGGAAGTATCTGTAAATACCAGATTATCATATGGGATACATGTTGTTAATACCACAACTGCACAATTTATAAAACAATAACCTTTTGAGAAAAATCCTAAAATATCTAAGTATTTGTTCCAAATATAAAACAATAACCTTTTGAGAAAAATCCAAATATCAAAGTATTTGTTCCAAAATCCTAAAATAACCTTTAGACACCAAATTTAAACTTCCAGTGGAATTGTGGAAGTCTTTTTAGTCTAGTAGTTAAATAAAAGGGTTTATTAGGAGATGTTATTCAATCATGGATTTTAACAGAATTCATATTGATTCACAATTCAATGTTATACACTAATGATTTTAAATTATGTATTAGAATCCAGTGTTATTGAATAATTTATTTGTAAATCATACTTAATTAATTTTTTTTTTTGATGTTATTCAATTAATATTTTAAACACTACACTAAAATCCAGTGTTATTGAAAACTAAATAACTTTTAAAATCTTTGTATATTAAGTCATTTGAAATGAATTGGAGTAGAATTTAATGAGTAAATCATTGGAAACAAAATCCAAGACAAACTTCATAGATTTTAGAATCCACACACATGAACTTTGGAAAACAACATTAAAACTCTAAATCTTGAATATTATAAAACTTATAAAGTTGACTATAAATCAATAATTGAATAAGAAAAACATAGGATTCCTAAAATATAGGATTTCTGCAGGTTGCAGGTAAACAAAAAAGAAAAATTTCAGTACGATGCAAATAAAGATATTTATAATGGACCCGTATATCTGCTATTCATTTTTGTACGATACATAATTTTTCAGTTAAAGGAATTATCCTTATAATTATCCTCATAATTTTAGGCATATCAAACGGGCTGGCCCGGTCCGAAATCCATAAAGCCCGTGTATATTTAAGTTCGGCCCGGCCTGGCCAGATAATATATCAGGCCTATATTTTAAAGTTCGGCCCGACCCTAACAGGATTATCGAGTTTTTTCGGGTTTTTTGGGTTTTTTAGAAAAATAAAATAAATTTTAAAAATAATCAAAATTATAGTTTTATCAAATCTGAAAGTAAAACTTTAACTTATAAATTCATATAAATTCTAATATCAAATATAATTAAATAAATAAGTACTATAAATATTAGAAACGGGAGAAGTCGAGATGAGAATCTTCAGGATGAAAGTATGAGTGCTTCTTGAAACTTATTTAGTTTGAGCATTGATGTTATATGAAGGCACACAACTAAAAATTAAAGTTTTATATGAATAGAATATTATAAAAAAATTAATAACTCTAATTTTTTAAATTGTAAAGGTAATATATTAATAAAAAATTCTAAATAAAATTATGTACAAAGCTTTTTGGGTAAGCCCGAGACCGATCGAGCTTAAGCCCAAATGGGTTTAGCCCAAAAAGCCCGATTTTTTTGGGCTTTTATATCAAAGTTCAAACCCGGTATTTTTCGGGACCGGGCCGGACCGAGCTTCGGACTTTAGCCCAAATTGACATCCCTACATAATTTGTTGTAAAAATATTACTTTTGACGATTAAAAAAAATTAACTTCTAAAAATAACATAAAATATGTTCAATTATGATTAGTATAGTATTGAAAATGCTTAATTTGTACATGATTAATTATGTATTAATAATAAAATTATAAAAATTTAATAATAAAAATGATAAATTATATATAAAATGTCATAGATTTCAAAAGAAAATGAAGATAAAAAAAAATATTAACTAAGACTTTAACATATTTCCCTAGATCAAAAATGTAAATATGATAACTAAATAAATGGGAAAATATTAAAATCTATAATAATTTATTCAATTTTTATTTTTGGCCCGTACGCATGTGCAAATATAATTTTTTTTAGACATAATTAGTTGTAATATTTAAGTATTGAATAATTTTTTTATACATTATGTAAACGTTATGTTTTTATACATATATAGTTTTAGTGTTCAACAACAATCACAAAAATGTTTCCTATCATTTTGTGTCTTTTGAATTTTTTTTATTTTTCCTAGCGTTTACAATAACATATAATTGCATGTAAAAGTTATGTTATATAATAATTAAATTTTTATAATATATTTTGAATATTATCTATACTATACTTTCTTTTTCTCCTTACACGATATAATCTTGGTAATATATATATATATATATACATATATACATATATACATATATACATATATATATTGATTATTTTTTTCCTTGATCTATTGCTAATTATACCAAAATGAACTTTACCATATTTACTTATTCTAACAGGGCTAGATGGTTGGGCCACACATTCGTCTGTACCAACCATCTCACCGCTC